ACCTGTCTGTCTCCTCTCCACCTATCTTCTCCTTTACCCATCTTCTATCCGTCTCCCCCTCTCTCCCTATTTATTTCAGAAGCCCCACCCGCTTCCCCTCCCCCATTTCTGAAGAAGGATCTCGGCCTGAAACGTCAGCCTTCCTGCTCCCCTGATGCTGCTTGGCCTGCTGTGTGCATCCAGCTCTACACCTTGTTATCTCAGGTTCTCCAGCATCTGCAGTTCCTACTATCTCTGAAACACTTCCCTATGATATCACGGTTTGATTTGCTTTCACAATTAGCAGACTCCTGAAACTACAGCTATTAAACTAAGACTTCCCAATTCCTAACAAAAACAGAAATTGCTGGAAAAATCTTAGCAGGTCTGACAGCACCTGTGAAGAGAAATCAAAGTTAACGTTTCGGGTCGAGTGTCCCTTCCTCAGAACATTTACTCTTGTTCTCCTATTCCTGTTCATTTGAAACCGAAGAACATGAAGATAAAAAGATCTTAGCTTGGGTCAAATATGCAAAAATCCAGATCAGAGGGGAACAAACTGGAAAACGTTTCTCCAAGCACTTCAAACAATCAAAACTGGACCAAAAAGAAAACACCTTAGATGATATACGATGCAGCTTCTAATTCTTTTCGAACGTGGTCCGGCTGTATAACTTGAAGGCGAACCTATGACATAACGGAACGTAAAAACGTACAATTTTAATGAGCTGAAAGGAAGAGTGATGGAAAAACAGTAACCAAAAAACGTTAGCAAACTTTTTTTGGGAGACGCCCTCTTAGCAGTTTGAAGGCAGAAAGACGCACACGAACACTTATAAACTACAACTCCCAACAAGCTTATGAGACTATTTCCGATATACGGGGTGAGTGTTTCCGGGTGATAGCTTTTCCGCGCCTTTTTCTTCAAAAAGATGGTGCCAGTAGATAATCAGTATGATGCGGCTGAATTACCAGATTTGCTTCCTATTTATTACAAACGTCTTTTCCCATATTCCCAGTACTTCAGATGGTTAAGCTATGGTGGTGGTAAGGAGGATTTTTTTTCCTTTGCGAGGTCATTTTGTTGCTTTTATATTTAAATTTTTCTTCCTTGTCGTGGATAAAGCTGAATGAATTTGTTTTCCTGCGTCTTGGTATTTATGCACGTTTAAATCGACTTTAAATGCATTTAATTCCAACTTTGTGATTCTCTTTTTAGGTATCACGTTTTAAAAGTATAAATGACCTAATTAAATAGACTAATAATAGAAGAAAGTTCGACATTTTGATAGAGACAGTAGGAACTGCCGATGCTGGAGAATCTGAGATAA